TATAGTTTGTCTTCAAATCAGTCACCGCAGGAAATCCGGTTTCACAAAGGTAAAATGTTGGAAATCGTAATAGTATATGAGATGCATTCGTTTTCAGTGCAGAAAATTCATCATCCACCCTTGTCCAAATTCAAAGAGTGATTTGTTACTAACTTGCCATTTCATTTCACCGTTTGACATGAAATCTATGAAGATTTCTTCTTCGGCAGTTTAGAGCCCTTATGGAGTATTTTGAAATGGATCCTTAACCCACTTGTAACTTGCTATCAAGCTGTCGCGAGCAAGAAAATACTTTTTTAAATTCTTTGCCAGCATGAGTGCGGCAGATTCTTTGCCAGCAGATTTTTAAACAATTTTCAGTGGTTTCAAAAATAACTTCCACATGTTATATTGACACAATTATCCACATTTTCAAACACTTCTATGTCTTTTTTCCACTTCAAATTTCTGCTCCATAATGCCAGATTTCCAACAAAAAGCATTTATTTTATCACTCATATCCAACCATATTTTTGCGCGATTTTTGCTCGTTGAAGTTGAAGATTCAGTGTAGTTAATTTCTGGGCTATATCGATCAAGTACCTCAATTTCATTACAAATAAACTATCTTGAAACTTCTCAGCTTCCGGTCGGTTTTTCTCTTGCATTTTCCCCACTTAATTTATAAACATTTTGCAAAAATTTCCAAAGTGATAACCATCTTGGTCTTTAGCAGAATATTCAGACCAGGACTCCTTTTTTTTTGGAAGCCTGCTTCTCTGTGGATCATGTAATGTGTCCAAATGCACATTGGAGATTTATGTTTCACAAGTGCTTGTATACTTTGAAATCTTCCAGACATTCTACGAGCAACATATGTTCGTATTCCGAATCAATATTTTCACTCTATGTTTACCTCGTTTATTAAATCGTTTTAAAATATCAAATAATACCAGTGCTGTTGCTTTGAGTTTTACTGGTTTACAAAACGCAAGTCTTTTAGTGCTGGCATACCATCACGAACATACGCAATGAAATGAGCATCTTTATCGCCATCTGCTGCCTCGTTAAAGCTAAATTGAAAACAATTTGTTACGCAACTTACCGAAAAGCTTCTGAACATTTTCAGCTATATCATCGATCTGACGGTCAACAGTATCATTTGATGGAGGTATGGACTGCAGCTATTTAGCAAAATTATTATCTCAATCCATAGTTTCTACGATCTCAGTTGCAGCTGGTAAAATAAGCTCTTTGCCAGTGGTGTGAGGCTTTTTACATCTGGTTATTTCATATGAGAATTTGTAAGAAGCAAGTAAAGCTTTTTCATTCACAAATAAAGTTTTTAAAAAACGTTTTTTGCTTTTTATATGATTTTAATTTTAATTCAAAGAATTAAAATGACATGAAGCGTTCGCAAATGTCGTTTAAGTTTACCAGGTTTCATACTGTCTGCTTCCAAATTTTTGAGCAAACAACACACAAGTGTCTTTCTTCTTCATTTACTTCGGTAATGATTAACCCAAAATTCAAGTGTTCTTGAGAATATTTTCTTGATTTAAATTTTGGAACCAAGCTCGTCTTGCACTTGTTGATGCTTTGTTATCGTCTCAAGTTCGCTTACGACTTCAAAATTTATTCATGATTCTGTTTAAATCTACTGCCGTAAATATTTAACACCCCGAATTGCAATTAGAGAGCAAATTCCAATATGAAAATTCAAGACAGATTTGGCAGCGATAGAAGGACCGACTCGACCGAGACTGACTAGAATTGAATGAAATGCAGCATTTATACACATTTTGCGCAGACATTCAAAGGGTTACGCAGATAGTTACGAAGATGTCGGCGAGAATGGCGGATGTGATGAATATAAGATAGCTTTAGCGTCAAAGTACATTATTATTGCATTCAATATTAAACAAGTAATAAAGTATTATAAACAAATAATAAAGCATTTAAAATTATTATTTTTTTCATTTTGTTTATGTTGTAAGCACGTGAGCATTAATCTTAATAAATAGCATTTCCCATCCTAAAATTTCAAGAACCGTGTCCTGATAAAAGAATTCAGCGTAGTTATTCTCAGCTTTCGCAAGAGAATTTATTCCGCTACAACTAATAGATGAAATCCCTTCCAGGAGTCAGACATCAATCATGTAAGTAACTTTGACTTTTTTGTTTTTGACTTATGTTTAGGTTCTTACAACATATTTTTCCTCTGAATGAATTCATTCTTAAGGCATGCTTATGACTGAATGAAAAGTATATAACGCAAGATTAGCGACACAGAATTGGAGCTTTTCCCGTCTTCTTTTCCTTTTCACAAATTCATGGACCACCCACAAGTCAATAGAAGTTTCCTGCTTCCTGTGAAACCCAGTGATGTTTCGCATCTTATGTGTATAATTGCACATACACAGCCTCCGGTTTTAAATACAGACTTCCTTCATGGGTGACGTAATAGAGTTCTTTAAGTAAGTGTTAATGAGCAGCGATTTCCGTATGATTGTGAGTATTTATGCCAAAATGCTTCCCATTGCTATGGAATGGGTAGCAGTCTGAGCATTCCAAATGAATAGATGCATTCACGGTCATCGGAAATAAGTGGGTCAATTAGAAATTCATTTAAAATCAATGAATTTCATCCAAATTTTTCGTGAATTCCTTGGAAATTTGAAAGTACTCTAAATAAAATTAATTATATTTTACTAATGAAAATTATTTAAAATGAGGGAAGAAAAATATATATGTATACACGCGATTACAACGGTTTGTAAAATTTCACATATATCACAGGAAAAAGAGTGGTTTTTGAATAAAATTATTACTTTCTTTACGTTAATTTTATTCGCAACTTGTAAGCTGTAACTATTATGTTAAGTAATTAATTCTCTTCTGCACATTCACTTCTTCTTTTTATTAGCTTTCATCAGGATGTAAATCAGATAGCATGTATCAGAACAGAGTTCTCTATAGGTTAGACGGAGAGCTTTAGCAGTGATTTGTCGTAAGAATTCTCTGCCCAGCTTAATTTACGTTATTCGGCGTTTAGCTCTTTTCTAACCAAATTTCTCGCGAAATTAGACAGAATTGAGTTAACGCTTGTCAAGCTGTGCATTTGTAAACTACAGCACTAAATTACTTTGAATTTTAAATATCTATTTTATGTTTCCTGGAAATCTCGCAAGCAGTGGAGATTGAATTTTAGATTCGAGTCGTGTGTTTTTAAGTAAAATTTTAAATAAAACGTTTCTTTAGATCTTCTTTTGACTCAGTTGTTATTTTGAGAGACGGGCAATAAGGGGCTTGACAGTCTAGGTAAGGGCGAAGTTAAGCTAATTAAAGAGTGAAACAACAAAGAGTTAATTACTATTGTAAAAAAAGCAATTCGTTTATGAAGGGTTCGAGAACATCTGTTGTTAATGTTTAGAAACAGAGATCTGCCCTGGTCTCAAAGTGAATTTTTTTCATCGATTACTAGATGTTGGAGTTGAAAGGAGAATGCCCATCTTTGGTCACATCAACAAAAACGTAACAATAAGTTTACAATTAATTTAAATCAAAGACCAACTCCAGAGATTTCTAAGCATGCTGTCCGACATATAACAGCTATCGGGTATGAAATTCGAAGATGTTTTGAAAATTTTTGCTCTCTGCATCTAACAAAATTAAATTCCTCTAATTCACGCGCGATCATAAGAAATGGAAATAATCGAATGGAAAAAGGTCATACGATCTTAGGAACCTGTCTGCAATTAGTTATACAGAAAGTAAGTTGAAGAAAATCGTATAAAAGCAGGGCCTGTAGGTATATTTTTCACAACACATTAAACTCATGAAGGCAATATTAGTATTTGAGGGATAGTATTCTGGCACTATTTTGGTCCCATAATTCATGGAGTAACATTCATACATTCCAATATATTTGAATATTTATGCTAACTGAATTTCTTTAGTTATGGTTTTGGTTTATCCAACTAGAAGTGCGTACTTCAAGCAAAGTTCACACTGTGCGCAGAAAGCTTGAAATACACGACACAGATTTCACGCTTTAAAACTGACCTTCGCAATCACCAGATCTTAACCCATGGCGCATCTTATAGGATGAAGTACACTGGTGAAATAAATTAAGAGTATTTGCATATTTTATCGAATTACATGAAAACGACTGAACTGAAGGACAAACCACTGCTTCTAGATAAAAATACAAATCTTGTACGGCAAATACGTAAACGTACACATGTGTGTAGGCGGAGCCAGCAGAAAAACAGGTTTTATAAGCGCGTGGAAGGTATGACGAATTGCGTTAGCTAGCACTCTCGGCGAATTTCTTGGTATTATCTTGCAGCAATCGGTTAAATTCTCATCGGAAGAATAAAAATGAATAGCAACCAATGTTTAGATGATGGAATGAGGTGGTGAATTGTGGGGAGGCTAGAGGCAGGCCGATCGCAAGTCCAAATATGCAGAGAGTTTAATTTAACGCCCAGCGTCGTCTGTAACCTATAGAAACAGTTTCAGGATACTGGATCCATCGTGAGAAAGCCTGGGAAAGGTCATCCAAGAGCAACGATGGCCAGAGAAGATCGCTATTTGTCCATTTTAGTAAGGTGTAAAATAGGGGCTACGGCTTCCCAGCTCTCTCGGAACCTGTATGCAGCCACAGCAACCCGTGTAACAAGGGTGATTGTTTCCAAAAGACTGAATGAGAGAAGGTTGTTTGCCAGAAGACCGGCTGTTTGCGTCCCGCTCATGTCTACGGACAGGTGAGCCTGATTTGCATGGTGCAGGCAGCATAGTGATTGGAGTACGGAGCAATGGGCGTCCGTTCTGTTCACCGAAGAGTCCCGTTTTAGCCTAACTACTTCGTCCCGCTTTAGTAGTTAACTTTAGTAGAGCCTAACTACTTCGTCCCACTTTAGTAGTTAACTTTAGTAGAGCCTAACTACTTCGTCCCACTTTAGTAGTTAACTTTAGTAGAGCCTAACTACTTCGTCCGCATCGCTCAGCAGCTCAAGATGATGAAAGGATATCGCTGGGGTCTCAACCCCCATATCCTCAAGATCCTCTATAACACCGTCACCGAGAAGATCGTGACATATGGAGCAGCTGTCTGGGCCTTATCGATGCAGGGCAGAAAAGTAAAGCATTTGCAAAGCATCCAACGGCCGTTTTTATTAAATATCACGAGAGCATTTAGAACTTCCCCGACCAATGCACTTGCAGTCCTGGCTGGCATACTACCCTTGTCCATTAGTGTCGAGAAGGAAGCTACGTACCAGATAGTCAAGCAACTCGGCCAAACAACGCAATTTGGGGAAGAGGTGTTTACTGCAGATAACCTCGAAAAAGCAGTCATCAGCCTTGACAGGCACCCGTCTTTGCAAGGACGGGGTGTTAATGTCAACCTAAAGCAGACTACAAGATCCACGAACATAGATGTTACCTATTATACGGATGGATCTAAAATAGACGACAGTGTGGGCTGTACATATGCAGCACTTAAAGAGGGTAGAATAGTATGCCAATGGAAGGGGCATTTGGAAGCGCACAATAGTGTGTTCCAAAGCGAGGCCACAGCTATAAGCTATGCACTGCAAGCGATAATTCAGCAGAGGCTATACAATAGTTACATAATAACAGACAGCCTGTCTACGTTATACGCCATACTTAACCCCACCCACAGTTCTCCAATAATAGCAGCTATTCAGGAATACCTCCGTGCTCATAAAGAATTAAAAATTAATCTAGAATGGACGAAAGCCCATATCGGGAATCATGGTAATGAGACTGCAGATCAGCTTGCAAAAGAAGCAGCCCATAACGTCGAAGCAGTCCCAGTACAAATCCCATGGCCGGTTTCTCATTTAAAACGGAATCTGCGCGCCACAGCTCTAGCAGTCTGGCAGGCTGCGTGGGACAACGAAGACACAGGCCGCCGAGCGCATACATTTCTGCCTAAAGTAGATAAAGAACTACTGGTTACACGGCCACAAATGGCATACTACATCACAGGGCATGGGCCCTTTCCAGTATATTTCGAGAGATTTGGAATCTCCAATTCAGATCAGTGCTGCTGCGGCGATCTGGGCACAGCAGAACACTACGTTCTTAAATGTCCTCTCACGGAAGGAATGCACATTCCGTTCCCGCAAACGAACAGGGAGGCATTCAACAAATTTATAATCAAGCAACGACACCAGACCAACAAAATCACACATATAGTAGATAAGCTAATGGACATAGGTCCAGACTTATACCATGTGTAAATATAACTGGTCAGTATATCAGCTAATTTCAATGTAAATCAGTATCATTCAATCATAAGTAATCTATGTCTGCGATGTGTGTATATAGTGTAAGCAAGCGTGTCCTAATGTATGTTATTATTATTATTATTATTATTATTATTTTATTTTATATTTATTTTTATTGTGCTAGGTGTATATACTAGCTCTGTCTTATTATTCCAAAGCAAATTAAGGTAATGTCATGTAGGTATTTAGAAAGTATATGTATGTAACAGTGCTGGATTGCATGTCAGCAAATATGTATTAACAGAAGCATGTAAATAACTACTAATGTATATCTGCCCTTGTTTAGCCATGTACAATGCTATTTTTGAAGATTCCAATAATCACTGGACCCGGGCACTTTGGACGGGTGTCTACCCGGTGCATTTGATTCGCGGAACTGCCAACCGGATGGTCCAGGCGTTGGGTTTGGGCGCCTTGTGCAAGCCTCCCATGTGGCCTCTCTGGCTTTACTCTGTATAAGGGCGGACGTGGCCCTATATGCTAATTAACTTAATAGTAAAGGGGTGGTGGCCACGTCCTCCATCACTATCACTATCACTATCACTAACTACTTCGTCCCACTTAGCCACCTACTTCGTCCCGATTCTCGCCGTACTTTCATGTGGAGACCTACCCTCCAATGTCCGCGAAATCAACAATTATGGCGGTGGCGGTGTAATGGACTGGGCAGGCATCATGTTCGATGGCCGCACACCCCTCCACGTCTTTGACAGAGGCTCTGTGACTGGTGTGAGGTATAGGGTTGAGGTATTGGAGTCCTATGTTCGCCTTTCCGGGGGCAGTATGCCCCGAGTTCATCTTACAGCACGATAACGCGAGGCCTCTTCTGGTCAACGAATTTCTCAAGAATGAGGATATTCTCCGGATGGATTGGCCATCCAGGTCTCCAGACCTCAACCCTATAGAGCATGTCTGGGACGCTCTGGGAAGGGCAATTTCAACTAGCAACCGCCGTCCGAGAACCATCTAAACTGCCTTATTTCCAGTATGACATCGCGCTGCGAGGCGTGTATGGCTGTAAGAGGGGACCATATCTCCTATTAACCCATTTCTTTTGTGTGTTCTGCAGCCAATGTTTCAGATCTTCAGACTCCCATGAGCGTTACACACGAACATGTGTGTCTATTATAACCGTTGAATGTTTATTTTGTTTGTATTATATCAACCTATGTTCACACCAAATTTTATTAAAATCTGTCCAGTAGTTCTGGAGATCGTGAATCAAATATGAGAATTCTCTTAACTTATTTCACCAGTGTAGAAAGGGGCACCAGACAGCTGAATCAAAAACTTTCAAATCTTTAAAAAGAGGGAATTGAAGTTCATTGCATATGATCTCGGATAACTTAGTCACCTGCCAGTATCTGGGAGAGGCATTGCCTAGGTGTATCGAAGCAATATTGAGGGAAAAACAGGGCACAGCAATAGAGTAAGCATTAAATTGCCTGCGTTCTATTGTTGTTTATTATTAAAGAGTATTATCTAAAGCCGAGTGCTCTAGTCTCCCGCTTTGAGTTTCAGGAATTCTAGAACGGTCTGTTAATGAGAAACGCTTGCTAAAATGAACTGTATATTATCGTTCAGTTCGAATGCCTTTCTATCTCTAGATGCAAATGTATACGGTACACTTTAATGATGATAATTTAAACTACAATCTTTCTTTCCTATAGAGAAAGATCATAAAATATAAATATCGAAGCAATGAAAAGAAAATGAGAAATTTCACTGCAGCAGTGAAAATATAGCAAAATAGACCAATAAATCCGTCTTTAATATGAAACATCTGCGCAGCGGCAATTTTATCTTAATGAATGCCACTGGAATTAAGCAAAATACTTTTCAAGCATATCTATAATGTGTAAAAAATAAAGACAATATCTTAAGCACTCATTTTTCATTCATTATTATTATTTGCAGCTGTTCTAAGAGAGAAAATAATAGGCTGTGGTATTTTTAAGCTTCTTTCACTTTTCTTCTAAAAATTAGTTCCGATTTTTTATGTTTTTAAACTACGTATGTATGTATACACCTTATAATAAAGGAGCATCTAGAGCAAAAATTCTGAGCGGCATGAAACCTTATATCTAAATGAGATGCTAAATTTTACCCTAAAACTTTAATAACAGGTTTAAAATGCAAAAGCATTGTGAAATGAGTAGGTGTATGTAACGCGTGATGGAAGAGGGTAGAGACGAAGCTGCTGTTAGCATTTTATCATTTGAAGCAACAGTAAGGAGAAATGATGAAGCACACGCGGCAATAGTATGGAGCGGCAACAGTATGTATTTGAAGCAACAGTATGGAGAAATGAAAAGCACACGCGGTCGAAAGAGATATATCATCATGCCGATGTATTGACGATATCGTGCACAGATGTAATAGAGAGTGATGTACATATTAGGTCGCAGCAATGCATACCTTAAGGTGGTGTTGGCAAGAATAGGACCTGCAGGAGAGATTGCAGCAATTAACAGACAGATAGTTGACGCCTAAGAGTGGTCGTCGGTCTTCGCATGCTATACTAACAATCACACAGTGGTTGAAAAGCCTATCACTTAGCCTAGAGCGTATTGTATATTCCTGCATATACCAGACATTTCCGTGACCATCTCAGTTACCAGACCTCTCACTGACTGCGCACGTTTTCGTGGACCGCGACCTTCCCATACTATGACTGACTCAGCTGTTAGTCAGAATCCATTTAGCGCTCCATTACAAGTAACACGCGAACCTGTGTGCCTCCATCTCGCATAGGATCATATCGAGTATCTACACATAAAATATAGACAACCATACAAGGAAAAGAAAGAGAAAAAAAAAAAATAAAAATAAAGAAAAATTAACGTGAGGAGATAACCATATAGTTTTGAATAGCGAAGTGTGAAGTTGAATTATGTTCTGCTTGACAGTAAAGTTCACATGTAATATTGGAAATATAACTGATATTTAACGATTATAGTAATACATTGAATCAAAAATTGAAATTTATTTAAAACTACTGGATTCATTCAAAGTGCTCTAATTTAGATGTTACTCACATTTATCGTGCTCCACTTTAAATGTTACTTACTTTTAAAGTGAAAAGTTACGTATTTATAATGTTAAAAGTTATATTTGCTTATACAAATGTTTAACTTCTCCCCACAGAAGCCTCTTGGAATTTTAATTTCTGCCGATAATTTAAATTGATGATGACGATGATTTATGTAGACGTTATAGATAGGCATTTCTATAAATCAAAACTTTATTTGTTAATTAGTTGAATTGAAATTTTATGTGTTTACTTTCTATAGCAAGGAAAATGATTTTCAAACTGAATAAACTACATCATTCATTTTTAAAGCTTAAAGAAAATTTCACTCAAAGGTTTAGTTGTCAGTAACTATGAAAACCGGAAATATTTGCATATACTGCCTTTAATTATATAACCCTCCATGATAACAGATTCTTATATTTCTGGTTTCACAAAAAATATATTCGTATATATAATAAAAACTCAAACAAAAATAATGTTATGATAACAGCATGCGTAGGAAATGATCATGTTTCTGTCAAACTGTCTTCAGATGCTCAACTGGCCGAATGGTATCCTAAAATACTAATTACAACGCGGAGTTTCGATGACCATCAACATGGCTGTCGGATTGAAAAGGCAAATGTTAAAACGTACGTGGGATTTACGTTTATAACATTAACTTCATGACCTGATACTGAACTAGAATAATGTCACTGAGTCTCTTACATAGAAGGGAATAGAGAAACGAATTACTTTTATGCCGGCTGTAACGTTTGATTGATAAGTAAGACTATTAAGTTGAACAGGTTAATAGACAAACTGCCAGTCATATGATTTAGATCAAGGTCATCCAACTATTCAGCGGAATATTGGAACGTGACATAATCTAGAGTAAACATTTTAAATGTCTTACTTGAAAAATAGTCATTAGCAAAGAAGCAAGAAAGTGAATATTTACTTATTGCATCATTCTACACACTTACTTATTGTGCTATACCGAAAAATTATTTTTGTTGAATAGTTCTATAGAAGAACATAATGAGTATCTTATATGATCTCATTTTTATTGTGTCATTATCAGATCTCATTTTCATTATCAGATCTCACTTTTATTTCACATTTTGAAACTTTTTTTAGCGCGCGCGAGAGGGATACGGAAAGAAACTGGATATGTATTAAATATTTACAGGAAAACACATCAGTCATATTTTGCTACATTTTCATTGTTATAAAAATAATAAAATATTTCTTGAAAACTTAAAACGAAAGAATGACATCCACATTTTTAAAAAGTATAAAACAAATAAATTAAATATTTTTAAACGTTTTTTAATTTTCAAATAGAAATTTGAAAACTAGTTTTTTGGAGAAGTTTGATAAAAACTGAAACCCGTCTTTAGAAAATACAGAGTTGAATATGAATAATCGAAGTTTGTTAAAAAATTTATATCCGTAATTAAAAATTTGCCACTCATCTATGCCGATTGACCATACTTTTTAGAATTACCACGAGATCGTGGACATAATAAATAAAAGAACGCGTTAGAGAGTAGCAATACTTATCATGCAAAGTTTTATAAATGTTCTGCACAAAATTCCAAGGATTAAGTTACAGACTTTTCTAACGTCCCCCTACAGAAAAAAAAGTTATTACAGACAGGTTGCCTAAGCAGTACCCAATGAATCTGTCCTCATTTATGACATGCTTCATATAGACAGATGACTTGTAGTTTAGAGTCAATGTGTGATAAGAACATAGACAATGTTCCAGCAGCGTCTTTACTAGCTTGTCAGCTATCGTTCGAAGAGCTAGGCAATAATTTTTAAGCAACAAATTGTCCATCTTCATCAATTTCCGTGTCCTTTCTAATCCGACAGCGAAGGATGACTGCTTCTGGATTCGTCATCATCATTTTCATATTCATCACGAAATCAT